AAAAAGTGTCCACACAGCCAGCATCCAGTTTGGATCAGCCCACTCCAGATGCCAGTGCCAAGTCTGGTTCTGGAACCAGCGCTGAGGTTGAAGGTGGTAGGCTGGCACAAGTGCTCCTCCCAAAGACCCTCAACAAGGCCAGCTCAGGTCTTCCCTTCTCTGAGAACCTTGTCCTGACCCCACTCCCACGGACAGCTCCCTCCTCTGACCACGTGACCATTGTGCTACCCCGGCTCTCGGACACTGCCAAGGAGCAGGGTACGTGCCTTGGTGTCCTCACTACAGGGAGGCTCCCAGAGGGCAGGCACTGAGCCCTCAATAATGAAGAACTTCGTGGGTCAGAACAAACGGGAAAGGGGGTCACAGAGGGAGCCTAAATTTTACCACATAATATACACACCCCACGAGTACAAGATCTCATTTTTTGTTTAAAAGATTTATTTGAAACAGAGAGAGTGAGAGAATCGTCCATCTGTTGGTTCACTCCACAAATGGACACAATGGTTGGAGCTGGGCCGATCTGAAGCCAGGAGCCAGGAGCGTCTTCTGGGTCTACCATGTGGGTACAGGGGCCCAAGGATTTGGGCCATCTTCTACTGCTTTTTCCCAGGCACATTAGCAGGGATCTGGATCAGAAGTGGAGCAGCCGGGACTCGAACCACTGCCCATATTGGATGCCAGTGCTGCAAGCAGTGACTTTACCTAGTATACCACAGTGCAGGCCCCCAAGACCTCATTTTTTGGGATTCAGAGAAGGTGGGAGGAGTGAGCAGCTGCAGGTCAGACCAGCTGCTGTTAAGACCAAGGCGGTGGCTGGCGCCACGGCTCAATAGGCTAATCCTCCACCTGCGGCACTGGCATCGGGGCACCGGTTCAGCACGGTGTGCCGGCCGCAGCAGCCACTGGGGGGTGAACCAACAGAAAAGGAAGACCTTTCTTTCTCTCTCACTGTCCACTCTGCCTGTCAAAAAAAAAAAAAAAAGAGACCAAGGTGGGTGGTCTATTGCTCCACTTCTGGTCCAGTTCCCTGCTAGCGTGCATGGGAAAGCAGCAAAAGACGGCCTGAGTACTTAGATCCCTGCCACCCACACGGGAGACCCAGATGATTCCCCTGGCTACTAGCTTTGGCCTGGCCCTGCAATGACCATTGCTGCCATTTGGGGAATGAACCAGTAATTGGAAGCTTTCTTTCTCTCTCTCTCTCTCAATCTGCTCCCACCTCCCCCCACCATAACTCTGCCTTTCAAATAAGCAAATAAATCTTTTTTAAAATTAAATTAAACTTAAAATGACCAAAGGGGGCTTCAGGAGCTGGGCTCAGGGGAAGGGCTGAACAGGTCCCAGTAAGGAATTCTGGGATGTCAGCTGCGTAGAACAAATCATCAAGAACACCCGCCTCCTCTCGAAGCCCAGAGTCTTGTCCCCAGCCTGGCTGGAGACCGTGGGAGCTGAGAAATAACTTGTAAGTCACTCTGTGGCACTCAGCTGAGCCTCAGCTGCCTTGTGCTCCTGTGGCTGACCTTGCCATGTCCAGTTCCCACTACACAACGTGCCTACCTGAATAATCAGCCCTTAACACGCTCCAACGTGACCTTCAGCAAGAAACCACAGCAGGCAGGGGCTAGTTGAAGGGAACGAGGGCTTCCGGGGCCTTGGCTCTGTTGATGACACTTTGAAAACAGTGCTGTGCCTTCTCAGCTCGGCCCTCAGGCCCCTAGCAAGGAGTGTTTTGACGCCTAAGATGTGGTGGCGCTCCCTGGGATGTGGCTGCACTTCCGGAACTAGGTTGATCCCTGAGCTGAGGTTGGGGACTGCGGGCTTCGGGGCTGTGGCGCTGTATCTGCTGGTGGCTGCGTCTCAACCCTGCTGCTGCCCTCAAGTCCCTCTCCCGGGTGTCCTTACTTTACGGTGCACAGCTGTCTGCGAGGACATCTGCGTTTGGGGTGCTGCGCCTGCTCCACACACAGCTCCCCCTGCTCAGAACGATAATCGCTCCGTTTAAAAGTCGCGCCTTGTCTATATTGGCACAAGCACAGGTCATTTCTGAAAGGAGCCAGGAAAGTGTCCACAGCGCCCACCCCTGACGAGAGGAGGGAAATGCAGGGAGCCAGGGTGGGCAGCAGATGCTCTTATCCTAGGAAAAATTATTGTGTTGTTCTGTGGCTGTTTTTCAACATCTTTGTGTATCCCTTTTGCAGTTAAAAAATGCGAAATTCAGATACGACACCCAAAGTGGATAAAAGGGAATAGCAATGCATTTGTCTTAATATCTCTGGTGTTAAAAAACAAAGAAGTTAGATACTGGGAGTTTGGAGATCTTTCTTCTAGAGACTTCCACGGCTCACTCCGTGATTCAGTGGACAGCGTGAGCTTGGATAAGCATAGTGGAGATTATAAGTTATTCCAGGGTTGGATGAGCAAATGCACAGAAAGCAGCTTGCTCACGGCCATGGTCGAGGACGGCTGCTTTCCTCGGCAACGTGGAGCTTTGTCCCCGACCTATTGCTGACCTGTCTGCTCTCCTGACGGGGACGCTCCCTCATACCAGAAATGCGGGAAGCAGTTAGCCAAGTGGCTTCTTGGGCCAGACCTCGTGGCTCCCTGGCATCTGGAATACAGAGCTTTCTAGAACAACTCCCACCAGCACCGGCTGGAACCTGCATCCAGGGATAGGCATACACGGGCAGCCCCGGGAGAGGAAGCCCCTCTTCCCAGACCATTTGTCAAGCAGCTGCTGTGAGTGAGCCGGGGGAGTGCAGGACTGAGTGCACAGGAAGCTACCGTGTGTGTGTGTGTGTGTGTGTGTGTGTGAGAGAGAGAGAGAGAGAGAGAGAGAGAGAGAGAGAGAGAGAATACAAGGAATGTGGGACAAATGTCAGCAGCCGGTCCCTCTGGAAAACACAAAGTGCCAAGCCAGGGAGTGGCCACATGAATTCCCAAGGACTCCTTGAGGCTCTCAGCTTAAGGGCAGAGACAAGCTGGCTGTTCTAGACTCCATTTCCTTATCTGCTAGGAAGAAAACCACAGGCTCTCCTGACACCTGGGGAGTTCTATTTTCCCTAAGTTAAACAGTCCGTGGCATTACGCCTGGAGGTGAGTCTCAAGTTCTGTGTCATCTTAGCCTTGTTCAAAAGCTCTGGAATCACTTATCTCTAGCATCAAGAGAGATGAAGGGAGAACTTTTGTCTTTTCTCCTGAATGTCTGCTCCGGTGTGCACTTCACGGGAAAACAGCAGGAAGCTGGCAACCAGGAGGAGAGACAGACGCAACAGGGACAGTGGGACAGAGGTGAGGCCAGAGTGACCCACTTTTAACCAGCTTCCACAGCCTAGGGTCACAGATAGTTCCACAGGCCAGGACGCAGAAGTGACATTAGCAGACGCAGGAGCGGCAGCATGGCTGGCCTCCCGCTGGGGACCCCATCTCCGTCCACCCTCTCCCCAGTGGACGGACCCCAAAGCACTCGCCTCCTTGTCCCTGCGGGCTGCGTCCAGGGAGACGGTGGCATGGTCCCTGTGCTGGTCCTGGCTGCACTCCTGGCAGATGCACTGCTGATCCGGGCAGCAGAAGGCGACTATCGGGCTGCGGTGGGCAGGGCAAGTGTGCAGGTCACGGTCCTTGGCCGGCTCGGTCAGCTGGTGGCTGTGCAGTTTGCTGTTCTCCTGGTGCGGCCGCAGGTGCTCCTCACAATAATTCACCATGCAGGTCAGGCAGGACTTCACCGCCCTCACCCTACGGTCCCCAAGGCAGAAGTCACACAGGATCCCCTCCCCGCTCTCGCTGCCAGGAGCCCCTTGCTCCCCAGGGCTGCTGTCCACCTCCTCCGGGCAGCCCGCATCCTCCTCTTCTACGGGGCTGGCTGATCCAGAGTCTGGGCTGAGGGGGACCAGAGGGTGAGCAGTGGCCCCCGGCAGGGGCCCCGGAGTCATCAGATCCAGCTCTGCCATCTGGGAGGCTCTGCTGCCCGAGCGCCTTCCTCTGCCCCTCTGGCACCAGGGATCTGTGCGGCTCAGGTCTGCCAAGAGAACCACGCCCAGATGACTGCAGCCGCCCCGGGAGCTTAACTGTTTCCTCCCTCCGTAAGGAAGCCCAGTGACTTTCGAGCGTGCACAGGGCTGGGACGGCAGCCAGCTGCAGTGACAAGGCGGCTGCACCGCTCCCGCTCCGGACCGACGGCGGCTCAGGAAGTCCGGCTCCCAGGCTCAGGCCCCTCCTCCGGTCCACCCACCCCCTGAAACTTCTCTTCTGGGGATCTCCGGTCCCCGCCCCTCAGCGCCGCCGACACCCATGTGCGTCTGTGGCTGCTCCAGAAAGAACTGGAGATTCCTGAGCTCTGCTGTGAGCCTGCGAGGCTCCCTGTGGGCTGACACGAGGTGAAAGGTTTCATTTTCCCTCTTTCAAAGGGATCCAAGATGCCAGGGCTCCAGCCTCCGGGCAACCATTTATTTGTCCCGTGCTGTCTCCTAGAGGTGGGTGTGCACAGGATGCCTGCCTCTGGCCTTGACCTTCCCCTGCATGGAGCTTCCCGTGAGCATTCCAGGAGGCAGCCCTTCCCTGGCTACTCAGTGGGGTTCCTTTGTTCCAGCGGCCGGAACTCAGTAACACAGACTGGTTGGTTTCGACAGCAGAAACTTACTTTCTCACTGTTCCCGCAGGCTGAAAATCTGCTTTCTCCTGAGAGCTCCCCCTTCTTGGCCTGCAGGTGGCTGTTCCTGCAGTCTTCACACTTGCTCCCCTCTGCACCTGTCAGTATCCTAATCTCTTCTTACATGAACACCCCCGAGACTGGGTTAAGGCGCACCCCCCCAAAGACCTCATTTCACCTTACTAGCCTGTTTAGAGACCCTGTCTCCTGGCCAGTGCTGTGGTATAGTAGGCTAAGCCTCTGCCTGCAGCACCAGCATCCCCTATTGGGCACTGTTTCATGCCCAGCTTCTCCTCTCCTGGTCCAGCTCTCTGCTACTGGCCTGGGAAAGCAGTGCTTGGGCCCCTGCACCCACGTGGGAGATCTGGAAGAAGCTCGTGGCTCCTGGCTTCAGATCAGCCCAGCTCCGGCCGTTGTGGCCTTTTGGGGAGTGAACCAGCAGTTGGAAGATCTCTCTCTCTCTCCCCCCCTCCATATGTGACTCTGCCTCCCAAATAAATAAATACATCTTTAAAAATAAAATAAAGAAGACTCTCCAAGTACAGTCACTTGCTGAGGTGTTGAAGGTGAGGACCTTAACACAGGAGGCTGAGAGGTGGAAGGGACACAATTCAGCTCATCAGGCAGGGCCAGGGTGAGGTGGGTATGCCTAAGGGGATCTGAGATGGGCGTGGCCAGGGGTGAGCTGGGCATGGCCAGGGTGAGATGGGTAGCTTCTGACTCTTTGAAAGGAGCGCCAAGGCGTGCCTCCTGGATGGAGGATACAGGAGGGTACTTTGGCAAGTTTCAACCCAATTCCCTGCTGATACAAGCACTCCACAACCACCACCCACCAGCAACCAGGGCTCTGGAGCATCTCGTGGTGGTCTTAGTCTCTACCTGGGTGCTTTGTTGTGCCTTGCACCTAATCTGAAACTTGACTGTCCCCTACAGACACTGGTTCTCCTGCCACTCCCAACGGGGGCTGTTCCTTTTCTCACCTCCTCCATATCTCAGAGCCCAGACTAGGGGTAAGGGAGTCCTCCCAACACCCTGTGGAAACACCCAGAGCCCCCAACCCCAGCTCACACTGCCCTCTCCTCCAACCTGGCTATCTTCTACCAGCCTCTGGGTCACTCACTTTAGTGATGGAAGAGCCAAGCTCCTGTAACACAGCCCCACCCCCTCCAATCCCCAACTCTGTTTTCATTCTCAGAATTTCTCTTTCCGAACGCTCCTGCCACCCACCCTATGATATGCCTAGATTTCATTTGACTTTTAATTGTAAAATGCACATATACACATATAACAAAACATACCATTGTAACTATTTTTTTTCTTTAGATGTATTTATTTACTTGAAAGAAAGAGCAAGAGAGAGAAAGGGAGAAAGAGAGAGATCTTCCATCTGCTAGCTCATCCCCCTAAATGGCCGCATAGCCAGGACTGGGCCAGGCCAAAGCCAGGAGCTCCATCCTGGTGTCTCACATGGGTGGCAGGGATCCAAGCACTTGGGCTATCATCTACTGCCTCCCATGCACACTAGCAGAGAACTGGATCAAACCAGCACTGTGATGGGCTTGTTTTACTAGCCATAATGCCCTTATTTTTTTTAAGCTTTATTTATTTATTTGAAAGTCACAGTTACTCAGAGAGAGGAGAGGCAGAGAGGTGGGGGAGGAGGGTCTTCCATCCAATGGTTCACTCCACAGATGGCCGCAACAGCTGGAGCTGTGCCAATCCGAAACCAGGAGCCTCTTCCTGGTCTCCCACATGGATGCAGGGGCCCAAGGACTTGGGCCATCTTCTACTGTTTCCCAGGTCATAGCAGAGAGCTGGACAGGAAATGGAGCATCTGGGTCTCGAACCAGCACTTATATGGGATGCCGGCGCTTCAGGCCAGGGCTTTAACCCACTATGCCACAGCGCTGGCCCCAATAATGCCCTTCTGTTTCATTCATGTCCTCACACCTCGGTTCTTTATTCACCAGAAACCTCTATCACCCTACTCATTACCCATTTGTTTAAATGTCCCATGGGACAAATGCTTCAATTTCCTCAGATGTTAACTGGACACCACTAGCTTAATCTATCCCCAAGGATTCAGCCTTGCATGAAATACAGTGCCTCTCTCATCTTCTCCAAACCCCAAACCAAAACATTTTCACCTAGATTTTTTTTTTTCCTAAGTCAAACCTGTCACCAGGAACTGTAGGCCAAACTGTGATTTGCTATTCCTTTCCAGAACTGATGGAAAGACTTGGGTAAATCAAGAAACTCCACAACAACAAAACAAACAACCCAGTTAAGAAATGGGCAAAAGGCCGGCGCCGCGGCTCACTAGGCTAATCCTCTGCCTTGCAGCGCTGGCACACTGGGTTCTAGTCCCAGTTGGGGCGCCGGATTCTGTCCCGGTTGCCCCTCTTCCAGGCCAGCTCTCTGCTGTGGCCTGGGAGTGCAGTGGAGGATGGCCCATGTGCTTGGGCCCTGCACCCCATGGGAGACCAGGAGAAGCACCTGGCTCCTGGCTTCGGATCAGCGCGGTGCACTGGCCACAGCGCGCTAGCCGCAGCGCGCCGGCCGCGGCGGCCATTGGAGGGTGAACCAACAGCAAAAGAAAGACCTTTCTCTCTGTCTCTCTCTCACTGTCCACTCAGCCTG